GAGATGGGGCTGGAAGGAAGAGATATTGTAGAAATGGAACTGATAGGGGATGATGATTGATTACTGGTCCTTAGGCAGGAAACTCCATTCCCTTTTCATATTCCATTGTGAAGGATGTTCCATGTGCCTTTGTCTCTCCTTCCAAACCTCTGACTCTTAGAATCCCTGGTTTTCTTTAGGATTTGATTAAGGGGGGGGCAGCTAGGTGGCACAGTGGATAGAGTACCAGCCCTGGAGTCAGGAGGACCTGAGTTCAAATACAGCTTCAGACACTTGACACTGTGTGACACTGGGCAAGTCACTTAACCCTGATTGCCTCACAAAAAAAAAAAGAAAAAAGAAAAAGATTCAGTTAAAGGGTCACTTCCTAAAGGAGAAACTTTCTTGGTGCCCCTAGTTTCTAGTGCCATTGCCTCTAAGGTTGTCTTTTTGCATCTTTTTCTATTCCCAGTGCTTAGCATTGTGCCTGGCATATAGTAGGTATTTAATAAATGTTCATTTACTAACTTCTATCTAGTATGTTCTGATTTCTACACGTTGTCTCCCACAATAGAATGTAAACTCCAGGAGGGCAAGAAGTAGTTTTGCTTTTTTATATCCCCAGCACTTAGAATGCATAATGCCTGACACATAGTTGTTCAGTTGTGTTTTTTAGCCATGTCCTCCTTTTTGTGACCCCATTTGGGGTGGTTTTCTTGGTAGAGATACTGCATTTCCTTTTCTAGTTCATTTTATAGATGAGGAAACTGAGGCAAAAAGGATTAAGTGACTGGCTCAGGGTCACACAGCTAGGACGTGTGGGAGGAGAATGAGGAAGATGCCAGAATTAGGCATTTAGTCCCAATGGCAGAGGTAGAAGAGGGAAAAGGAAGTAGGGATTAGGTGTAACATGTATTTGAATACAGGAAGCAAGCATTCTCAGAATCAGGGGTCTTGGTGCCTTGAAATGAATTTTAGACAGCAGGGAAGTTTAGAGATGAGTAAGGGATTAGGGCAAGGTCTCTTGGACAAGTTCCAAGGAGGATTTGGAATCCTAGGCTAGAATTCCAGCAAGAGTTGCCCTAGAACTCCAAGTGAAGCTATAGCAGGTGAGGAAGTATCTAACTTAAGAGAGATTTCAATCTTGAGAAACACTATCCATAAAATAGAGTTGAATGAATAAGTGAATAAATGAATGAAAAAACATTGATTAGGTACTTAATTACATGCCAGGCACTGTGCAAAGATACAGAAATGAAAAGATAGCCTCTTTCCTCACAGAGATTCTAGTCATATAGGGGAATCTCATCCAGGGAAAGGAATTTTGGTCATGGAAGGGACAGGGATGGTGAATGGATGCTTAAGAAAGCCAACTGACATGCCCTTTCCAAACTGAATGTTACTACTCTAGAATGAGAGGTAGAAAGTGAGGGTGGAGGGGTTAGAAGGGAGTCTATGATCATTCTCAGGCACAATATCTAGACGGATGGCTATGAAGATGTAGCATGGTCTGGAGCCAGCTAGTTAGACATAGTGCTCAAAGTGGACAAGTTTGTACGCATTGGGTCACCTCAAGATGGCTGGTCCCCAGTGCAAGAGTCTAAAGATGAGCAGATTAACTTCCCCAAAGCCTGGAGGCATGGATTCTGCAATGGAAAGACTAACCTATGCCTTAAAATGAATGCTTAATACAAAATACCCAGCAAGTGGTCATTCAGCCTCTGCTTGACGGATAGTGAGAAACACTCTCTGAAGGCAGCCCATTCAATTTATGAATCACTCTAGTTATTAGAACTCCCAGTCCAGCCCCCTTTCCACTATACCAAATGGCCAGTCTTAAAGTAGAATTCCTTTATGGGAAGTGTAAAGGATGGATAATTCAGACTTGACCTCTGTAGCAGGATGTGCAACTGAAATGTTTGCTTACATGCGACCCTCTGTCCCCCCCACCCTTTTTGTACTTCTGGTTTTATCTACCAGAATAAAAAGTGAGAATGCATCCTCTCCTTTTTTAACCCTTTAACTTAAAACCCCCTATTCTTTCCTTCTCACTCCTTGTCTTCTTATTACTTATTTATTCTTCCCATGGGAATATGCAGTATTGTATATTTCTAATGGCATAATCCCACTAAAATAAAGAAAAAGACAAAATAAAAGTGTTTTTACTTGTCATCTCTGTTCAGAGAATACAGTAGTCTTTGTATCTGGAGGAGTCAAGAAATGAATCTACTGATTTCAATTCTCCCGTGTTTTGAAGGGGTTAAATTCAACGATATAGAGTTGTTTGAAGCAAAGATGTTATAAACCAGAGTGTCATGAGGATTTACTTCAGTCTATATCCACTTTGGATATGGCAGTCCCATGCCCTTCAAGATATGGAGAGAGTATAGAACATATATGTGTGTCATGGGGATGGGCGTGGCAGAAGTTCTCTCAACCCGTATTGGAGAGAAAGGTTAAAAAGTTTCAGTGCCCCAGTGCTAGTCCATTGTTGATTCCTGGATTGCTCAGGGTGGGAGAGAAAACAGTATGTGAATGGTCAAAATATGACCGGCAGAGGGCGCTAGGGTGGCACAGAAATGGAAACATTTAAAGCTGATGAAGTCTCGGATAAAAGTCAGATGTGAAGGAAAATGTAAGCCTATTCTGTCCCACTTGGAAGTACAAATCTAGTGATTCCTTCAACTGAATACAAACCCAGCAAGGTTTCAGTTACTTTAAGCAAGTCATGATAAAGATTTTAGCTACTGTCTGCAAGATACTAAATATTGGTTAAGACAAGATTAAGAGTGGCTGAGCAGATATTTGCATCAGAATTAAGATTTCACTGGGGTGCTAGAGACCTAGGGAGCATATGTTGTTGTAATGGGGTGGGAGTCGGGGTGGAAATAACTCTCAGCCCAGGGTCGGAAAATGGCCCGATTCAATCAATCAATCAATCAACAAACATTTATTAAACTCCTACTGTTGCTTGGCACTATACCAAGCACTAGGGATACAAAAAGAGGCAAAAGGCAATCCCTGTCCTCAAGGAGCTTACAATCTAATGGGGGAGACAACGTGCAAACAAATATATACAAAGCAAGCTGTATGCAGGATAAATAGGGAATAACTAACAGAGGGAAGGCAAAGGAATTGATAGCTGTTGGGGAACGCTTCCTGTAGCTCGAAATGTAACTTTAGACAAGTTACTACATTTTTCTGGGCCTCCGTTTCCTAAATTGTAATATGAAAGGTTTGAGATAGATGGTCGCTAAGGTTCCTTCCAGTCCAAACATTCTCAGATGACTAAAGTCATTCATGGGCTTCTTATTCCTGAGCATATCGATCTATACCCAAGTTGAGGCAGCATCCTCTCCCTCATTCATATAATCTCTGTTATTGCGGAAGCCTTTTACTTTCTATACAAAATCTGATCAAGTTTCTAGGTTTCCCCCCAGGGGAATGGGCTTGTAGGTTCTTCCCCCGGCCCCCTTCCCCCCAATGAGATAGTTATATCTAGCCATATAGACAGAGGAAGGATTTTTAAAGATAAACCAATACAAGTAAAGTGTTATCTCTTCTCAGGTTTCGAAGTTTCCCAAAGGAAGGTGAAAGCAAATGCTACTTTGATGCCGCCAGCCTTCCACAATAAGGGGTTGACTCAAATTTTTTTTCCTTTTTAAATTAGTAGAGCTATTGAGAACCAGGGTTTGCGAATTGCTGTTTTCCATGTCTTTTCTTTCGGTAGCGCGAATGGCTTTGCTCCTGTCTCCACCTCAGACTCCAAGAAATGGGAGAGCAAAAGGAGAGTGAAGGGAAGGGGGGAAAGAGAGAAAGAGAGAAAGAGAGAGAGAGAGAGAGAGAGAGAGAGAGAGAGAGAGAGAGAGAGAGAGGAGAGAGAGAGAGAGTCAGAGAGAGACACAGAGAGACACAGAGACAGAGAAAAAAGAGACAGAGGGACAGAGAGAGAGACAGAGAAAAAAAGAGACAGAGAGACCCACAGAGAGCAAGAGCTAGAGACGGAGACCGAGATAGAGACAAAGACAGACAGAGACAGAGACAGACAGGGAGAGAGAGAGAGAGAGAGAGAGAGAGAGAGAGAGAGAGAGAGAGAGAGAGAGAGAGATGCATATCTAGCACTTAAGTCTTCTAGATTCAATGCTCCTGGGTGGCATGGGGAGGGAGGGGAGGAAGGGAAGGATGTTGGAGGGAGGGAGGGCTGGAGGAAGGGGGAGAGGCAGCCAGGGTGGATGAGGTAAGGCTGGCCACCGCAGTGGTACACACGGATTCTGCGCCAAACCGCCTCCTCCTCTTCGGCTTCAGCAGGGGCTCTAGGGGTAGCGCCGGCTGGCCTCCCTAGGCAAACCCCGGGTGGGCACAGCTGCACCGTCCCGACCCTGTTTCGGGACGGGATGCAACCACCTGCAGCATCTTCCCTCCTCCCTGTCTGCTTCCCGTGGCCTGGCTTGGCTAGCTCAAGGTTGAGCATCTTTTTCCCAAGTTGACCTGCTCCTTATTTAGCTGCACTTCTCTCAGTTTAAGCGAGATACCGTGATGACTAACGCCTGGCCACTCTCTACAGCCCTCCTTTTCTCAGCTCATGGCCTTGATCGGCCCCCCTACCCCCGGGCCATCGGCGGCTAGCTGGACACCCTCCAGTGCCCTTGGGACACACCCCTTTTCCCCTAGCCACTAGCCAGGAGGGCCAACACACGGGACTGGAACCTCTTCTCCCTGATATCCCCTCCCTGGCCCCGTGCACCTTTCCCCGTCCACACACAAGTCCATCCAGAGCCCCCAGAGCCAAGAGGGAAGGGGTCTTGGAGTGTGCGTGCGTGCGTGCGTGCCTGTGTGTGTGTGTGTTGTGTGTGTGTGTGTGTGTGTGTGTGTGTGTGTGTGTGTAGCGGGGCGTGCTGGTGAGTATTTGAGAGACGAAGGAGAGAAGGAGGGAGGAAGGGAAGGTAACCCTTTTCTTTCCATCCTCTGGGCAGCGATTGTTGCTCCCCCAAGCAGGGGACAGAAGGCTCCCGGCCCCGCCCTCCCCTCCTCCCCCCAATTTTCCCCGCCCCGCAGGCCCCGCCCGCGCGTTGCCCGGGGAACCGCGGGTCCCCGCAGCTGCAAAAAAGCAACCGTAGGAGCGTGCGGCCGGCCGCTGTTGCTGCTGCTTCTGCTGCTCCTGGCGCTCCTGCCTCGAGCCTTGAGCCCCGGCGGCAGCGCCCCAGCCCCTGCCCCGACCCCAGCCCCGGTCCCAGCCCGGCCGGGCCGCGGTCCCGCAGCGCCCTCCGCGCGCCTTCGAGCTCCCTTCCCCACCCCCGAACTCCTCTCCGGGCCATGCTGCCCACCCGGCGCCCCCGCCGCCGCCGCCTCCTACCCCCCTTGCCGACCGCCCCGCTCCCCGTCGGCAGGCCGCTGCTGCCGGGGCTGCTGCTGCTGCTGCTGAGTCCGGGGCCATCCCGGTCCCTGCCAGTCACTCCGGCCGTGCCCTTCCCGGACCCCTGCGCGCTGCAGCCCTGCAGGAACAACGGCACCTGCTCCCCCAGCGCGAGCGCGAGCCCCGGCCCCGGGCAGCAGCAGCCCGACGTCCAGGAGTCCCCCGACCTGGGCTACAGCTGCACCTGCCCCGCCGGAGTCACGGGCAGCAACTGCCAGGTGAGGGGTTGGGGAGGGTCCGGAGCCGGCGCGCCGAGCCTGAGCCGCGGCGGCCGGGACAGGAGCAGCCTCTCCCGGGCTTTCCCTCCCCTCTGTCTCTCTTTCTATATTTCTCCCTGCATCCTTCCCCTGTCTCCTCACTGCCGGCATGCCTGTGCCCCTGCAGCTGGGGCCGCTTCTTGCTTTATTTTCACCGCCACTCCCTCCATCTTTCTGGGGCATGTGGTTATCTATCTCTGTGTACGTTCTATGTGTGCTCTTCAACAGCCCTTCCCTCCCCCTAGCCATCCAACGACCACCACGGCTGGCTCCCACTCCCTCTTCTTCCCTGGATTTTCTTCTCTCCCCTGGCCTGGCATCTTCATAGCCTCGCTCCTCTCATAGCTGCATCTCTCTGGCTTTCCTGGGGAATGCGTTCTGTCCCCCAGGATGTAACGTCCATGCCTTCATTCACTTCCACTTTCTTCTGTTGTATGTATTCCTGCTGCCTGCCTGTCTCTGTCTGCTTGGGCATGCATTTCACTATTCCGTCTCCTTCAATCCTTCCGTGCCAGCCAAACACAGTTTATTTACTCCCCTAGTTGGTAGGGGTTAGGAGGCCAAGAGCAAGATGGCTCAGGTGGTGGTCGGGTGCCGCCGAAGCGCTTCAGGCCCTATAGACTTACCAAGGTTGCCAGCTTTTTTTTTTTTCTCATTAAATATTTAAGGTGGATGTTGTTACCCAAAGGAGTCATGCTCACCCTTCCTTGAGAGTAGTTTTTTTCCCTTTTTCTTTTTTCCTGCCCTGTGCTTTCCTAGTTGGGCTGTTAGCTAAGGTGGAGAGAACTTTGCTTCCCCTTCAGGGATGAGCTAAAAATGCAAACCGTGCACCTCAAATGGGAGGAGCAGGACCCGTTGTCTTAGTCGATTCTGAGATTTTGATTTCTCTCTGGAGTTAATTTGGCATTTCAGAAAAAAAAAGGGACAGCATTTATTGGAAGGCAAATGCAATGAATGTGACGTTGGTGTTCACGTGCATTGGATGGATCTAACATATATAGGCAGATATAAGTATATATCTATAGTATGTCAATCTTTTTTTTTTTTTTGGATTGAGAAGTCACAACACAATGTATCAACTAATGAAGTATTAATCAAAAAAATGTTTTCGCCGGCTATTCAGTCAAGAGAATCTAAAGGTGCTTTCTGATGGCTATCAGTGGATTTGGGTTCTGAGAAAATCTGTTAGAAAATACCGTATGCACAAAGACTAAAATGTCAACCGCAGCCAAGTTAGCTTTGGTTCGTTTTCATATACATTTCAAAAAAGAAATTCAGTGCCTGGACTCTGTTAGTAGAGAAACACTAAGCCACCAGCAAGGATAGGAAAATGAATCTGATGCCCTTGAGAAAATAGGCTGTTCTGTGATCATAGGATTCATTTAAACTAATTAGATGTGAACTATCCTTGGGCTTCTATTGAAAAATCCCAAGGACACAATGTTTCCACATTGCATGTAGACCTGAAGAGAGTTGCTTCATATGAATTTAATTAATGAAAGACTTTTGATGGAAACAGATAGGAAAATGATCAAAGCAGCCTTTTTTTGGGGGGGGTGGGGGTGGGGAAAGATTTCTCCCCCCCCATTTCCTCAAGAGGAAAGAGGTCAAGTGAAATAAAGAGGGGATCAAGTTGATTGACCTTGGATCATGCTTAGTTTTATTTAGAGGTCCTTTTTTAGGGCAACTGTCAACAGGAAGGTAATTTGTTTCAAGGTTGTAGATTTCCCTCTGTTCATGGAGCTGTAATTCTAGTGGAAAGGACATATGACTATTTAGTAGGTTTTGTTTGTAACTATTATCTGTCCCTTGGATCCCTAATCAGAACAGAGCTCTCACCTCCTACTTTTAGAAAGTTTAAGAGAACTACAAATAAATAGAGGGATTTTTTCAAAATGAAATTAAATGGGGTAAGGGCTAATTTCAACTGCTTTGCCACAAAATAATGGGAGAGTGGAGAAGTACGGAGTTGTCTGGTTGCTGCAGCTTTTCAGTTGTTCTCATATTTTCCTGTGTGAATTCAGTATCTGAAAGGGAAAGTTATTGTATATTTTCCAGGGGCTGTGTTCTACCTGTAAGAGACATCAGTCACTTCCTCCATGATGGGGCAGGGCAGGGCAGGCAGTGCAATAAGGGGGTGGGGCAGCTCTGGAGCAGCAGTGAGAGAGGATAAGTGGGGCAAGTGTGTTTCAGCTGCAGTCTAAGGGTACTGGATGTGGAGATATTTAACACAAATTTTAGGGTGTTTTTTTCTTTTAAAAATTTCACTTAATTTCTTTGGAGGTCTCATTGATAATGACTTTTTTGGTGTGTTTCCTAAACTATTATGTAATAACCATTATGGCTTTGGATGATTTTTTAAAACAAGGTATTTGTTGAAGGGGAAAAGGGGATTTCATCTGTGATTTCAGGTGGGATTCCATTGGTTTGAATGAGCAAGTAAGCTGCAATTTACCACCTCAGAGAGTTGCCTGTGGGTATGGAGAAGTGAAGTGACTTGACCTTGGTCTATCAATTACTGGGCATATGACTTGAATCCAAGGCTTAATACTTTCTAACCATGGTCAGTGAAGAAGCACAAACTTTTTGACTGGGTCTAAAATGATGGTTTAAGATAGAAGAGAATTAGTTTAGATTAAAATAGCCATAGATTATATATGTCTCCAAGGATCCTCAGCTCTAAAATATCTCTGACCAATGATGTCATATTTTAGTTACAGAAATGATTTGGGGCAACATAGGTTCTTTCATACATAAAATTGTGGAGAGTGCTCCATATTCATAGGGATTGGGGAAGAGGAACTTGGAACAGAAGGCTATATGAAGGTATTTAGGAGTTAAATTCAAGAGAAAGGCATAGGAATTGCAATTTTAACAGATTTCTTAAAATTTGGAATGTGGCTTTTACTTCATTACCAAAAAGGTCTTATTGAAGTTTTCCAGTTACTAATTACTCATAAATACTCAGTTTTTGATTGTCTAAATTTCAGGTTTTATGCTTATTGCAGTAAGACCTGGGGCTCTCACTTTCTTTTCTTTTCATTTTTTTCCTTTCCTTTCTTTTCCTTAATAGCCTCATTAGAGAGGACATTTCAAAGGTTCACAGCCTTGGTGTCAACTTTGACTTCTCATTCTCTCTCATCCAGCACAGCTAGTCCATTGCCAGATCCTGTAATTTTTCTCTACGTTTTGCATACATCCTTCCTTCTCTCCCTTCACATGGCTATCACCCTAGTTCTGGACTGCATCATCACTTCTCATTGGAATAGCCTGCTAATTGGTCTCCTTGCCTCTCATGTCTCCCACTCCAGTCCGTCTTCTACTCAGTTACCAAAGTGATTTTCCCAAATTGCAGGCCTGACCGTTTCATCCTCCTACTCTGGGATCTCCATTTCATTCCTGTATCACATATAAAATCCTCTGTTTGGCATTTAAAGCCATTAGCAACCTGGGCCCTTCCTGCCTTTCCAGTCTTTATTTGACTCCTTTCAATGACCTTTCTTATCTAGCTCTGCTGGTCTACTTGCTGTTCCTTGCACAGGGCACTCTTACCTCTCTTCTCCCTGCCTTTGTATGTACCCCGGTTCTGGCACACTTTCACTCTTCCTTTCTGCCTCTTCAATTCCTTTGCTTCCTTCAGGACTGAAATCAAATGCTGCCTTCTGTAGGAGGCATTTCCTGGTCCCCTCCATACCTGCTAAAGCTGTCCCCTCTAAGGCTACTTTTTCCCTACTCTCTCTATAGCTTGTATTTACTTATTTATTTACATGTTTTCTCCCATATTAGAATGTAAGCTCCTTGAGGGCAGGTATTGTTGTCCTCTTTGTACCCTCAATGCTTGATCGCAGAATACAGTAAGGATTAAATGCTTATTGGCCGAATGACTGGCAGACTAATACAAATGAGGAAAGGGAGTGTTAGCCATTAATAAGGGATGTGGTTGCAGGAATAGGGCCTAAGCTCCTACTGCTAAATTATCCAATAAATATTTATCAGTATTTGTAGAGCATTTCTTAAACTGAAACAATGTAACTAGTAAGGCAAATAATAGCACTACTAATAGTGACTTCTTGCATGGCCTAGACTATCTCAATGGCCTCCTAATATTGGTCTGTCTGTATCACGCCCCCCCCCCCCAAATGCATACTTGGGATGACCACCAAAGAGGTTTTCCTCAATGGCAGGACTGACCATACTGTTCTCTGAACTCACATTTTCTTGGCTGCTTGTTATCTTTTAAAGATCTTCACAACCTAGCCCCAACTTACCTTTAAATTAAATTTTTTCAATAAACAAAAATCTATTTTCTCTCTCCCACTACTCTTCCTCCCAACCTTGAAAAAGAAAGAAAAGTAAAACCTTTCTAAGAGACAAACATAGTCAAGCAAAACAAATTTCTGCATTGGCTGTGTCCAAAAAATGTACATCTCAGTCTGCTTCCTGAGTCTATGACCCTCTGTCAGGGAGTGGGGAGCAAGTTTCATCATGAGCCCTCTGGAATTGTGGTTGATTGCTACCTCAACTTATAGCCTAACCCTTTTATCCGTTACTCCCCTTCTGAAACATTAAGGTGCAGTTAAATAGCCCTCATGGCTATTCTTCACGCATGTCACTCTATTTACTGTCTCACCATCTTTGGCTTAACTGTCCCCCATGCCTAAATTGTACTCAGCTCCACTTCTTAAACATCTTTCCTTCAAAATTCTACCTGAGCTGCCTCTTCTGTGTAATGGCTTTCATGTTCCCCTCACCCCAAATTTGCTAGTGCTTTTCTTCCTCCCCCTATTTAAAAAAATTCTGTATTAGAGAGGCAATATGGCATAATGGATAGAGTGGGGAACCTCAGAATCAGGAAGACTTGGTTTCCAGGCCCAACCTTGACACCTCCTGGTGGTGTCCCAGACTTGGTTACTGAACTTGCTCTTTACTCGAGGTAACTCTGGGACACTATCAGGGTGCCA